CCTCTTCTACCACATACTCCACCACGAGGGACTATGTCCCTGTGGGCAAAAGACAACAGGGCCAAAACCCAGCTGGGCCAAATGATCAAGGGCTGGAATCTCAGAAACTCAGCAAAAAGAACTCCCATTCTCTTTAAAGTTGTCTATCTTGGGTCTGTTGTCATGGTGATAGGAAGCCGACGCACCCTATCCCTTTGCAGCTGTGAATTGAGAGACCATCAAAGGACAGGTGCTCTCCTTCCTGACAGCACATTTGATGGCAAGAAAGGTGCTGGGTGTGACTCGTGCCAAGGGCATTGCAGAGGGAGGACTATGAACTGTGATTGCCGGAGGAAAGAATTCAGGATGGTGGGGTGGTAGGCCCTGTGACTGGCCTTTGGACTACAGGCAGTGGTGCTTTCAATGGGAAGTGCACCCTATAGGCTCAGGTAGTTGAACTCTGGGTCTCCAGTTGGTGGCGCTGTCTGGGGAGGTGGTGCAGCCTTGCTGGGGGAAGCACATGGCTGGAGGTGGGCTTTGAGAGTTGGTAACTTCACCCTACTTACAGTTTGCTCTCTCGGTTTCCTGTCTGCTGTTTAAGATGTGACCTCTCAGCCTGCTGTGATGCCTCCCCCACCATTACGGAGCTCACCCCTCTTCCCCAGAACTGTAAGCTGAAATAAACTCTCTCTTTTAGGTCACGGTGTTTGTCATAGCAACAGAAAGGGACTGATACATTAGGCAGGAGTGGCATGCAGCATATACAGGGGACTTGGAAAACTCCTCTGTGGGACCCCTTTCTTTGTGTTTTCCCCACTTTGTTGTTTGGGCATTGGGGAAGCTGGGTGCCTGAATCACCACACAGAGGCTGCCCACCAAATATGTCTATTACTGGGATAATTACTTGAACTGCTACTTGCATAGCAGGTAAGTTTCTGTTGTGAAAACCCACTGAACTTGGTGGACATTTGTTAAAGTGTCTTAGTCATGTTCTATTGCTGTGGAGAGACACCATGGCCATGCCAACTCTTATAAAGGGAAGCATCTAACTTGGGTTGACTTACAGTTCAGAAATTTAATCCATTGTCATTATGGCGGGAAGCATGGTGGTGCACAGGCAGACATGGTGCTGGAGAAGGAGCTGAGAATCTTCCATCTGGATTCTCAGGCAGCAGAGAGAGAGAAGACACTGGACCTGGCTTGAACATTTGAACCCTCAAAGGCCACCCCCAGTGACACACTTCTTCTATCAAGGGCACACCTCCTAATCCCTGTCACGTAGCGCCACTCTCTAATGGCCAAGTATTCAAATCCATGATACTACGGCAGGGGGATGGGGGTGGGGATTCCTATTCTGACCACCACATCCAGCGTGCTCACCTGAGTTACAACAGCTGGATATTTTTATGCTTCCCTGAAATATCCATTTTGATCTTTTGTATTACTGATTTTATTATCATCTGCTTTGTTGTACTGAGAACTGTTTCTTGGATGAATGAATAGATTCAGCTTCAGAGGTACAGAGCGGTGTTGTAGTCACGGCAGGAGGATGAGGCCAAAGCTGAGTGAGGACTGTATCATGGAGCAGGGTTGTGAAGTGGAGTCTGAATAAGGAGATTAGAAAGCAGAAGAAAAAGCAAAGCGCCAAGCCATTAAGCTAGCCTACTACAGAGATTCACCTGTCTCCACTCCAGCCCTCCCCCTATTGGGGGTACTGGTGTGCAGCACCCAGATTTTACATGTGTGCTGGGCATCTGAACTGAGGTCCTCATCTTTGGACAATAAGCACTTTCCAGATGGAGCCATATCCCCAAACCCCTTGGCCATCTTCAGAACATTTGGTTGAATCTTTTACCCTATTGCAATACATATATGAAATACTATGAAAAAAATTTACTTAAAAACATATGGCTCCACCTCTTCTGCAATTGCATTTAAACTTTAACATTTACCTTAATAGTTCACCTACAGATGCCAAAACCAGAATGTTCACGCATCCCTGCAACCAATTGAAAAAGAAAAGAAATAAAAACCGAGTGAAAACCCGGCAGGTCCCACTTGTTCCCCGCGTGCTGAAAGTGTGCATTCTCTCAGCAGAAAGAGCGAACGGCATTTCTCCCTGCGAGACCAGTGGGTGACTTTTCAGACAGCCCTACCCCTCCCCAACCAGGTGGAATGTCACGTGCAGAGACACTGGGGCTTCCATGACCTTGAGGGGGCCATCAACTCAGCCACACTGCACTTGTCCAAGTGATAGGTCTCAGAGTCACAGGGCACTCCCCTGTGGCACACGGAGGACCTTGATGCTGCCAGCTCACAGTGAGTTGTGTTCGGAATTGCATTTGATATGGCAGAACACACCGGCGTAATAGCTTGGTGTATATAATAATGGTCTGACGTTATTTTAATTAAAAAAGAAAACAAAGCAACAAAAAAATCCTTGCTGCCATGAGGTGCCTTATAGATTCTGTCACTCTCTTGGTGTCCTAGGGACCTATGTTTGGAGCAAGCTAAGCTAGAATGGTGGGAGAAGCAGCCAGCTTTGTTGTCCCACGAGGTTACATTCTCTTTCCTTTCCCTTCTTCCGCCTGCCTGGTGCGCATGTGGGCGTCAGGTCTGTCTGCTTTGAAAAGGAACCCCAGCTTTATTACCTCCCATTCGTCCCCTGGCTCCCTCTACTGAACTCCTCATCCATCTAACCTGGGGTGCTATCTGGCTTTGGACCCCATCTTCCAGCCTTGCACTTCCCCACTGACCTATCTCGTACCAACCCACAGACAGATTCCACTCTGTTGTTCTCCTGTAAGAAACCGAGATGGCAGCCTGCTCCCTGTTAGATTAAGTTGAGACCCTTTAAAGCCCTCAGCCTTCAAGCCTCCATCAATGGGGGCCCCCCATCATTCATCATTTCTACTTCTGGGGTCTGAGTTAAGCCTTCCTCCAGGCCACCTGGCTCCCACTTCCGTCCCTGCCCACCATCTCCATGTCATGTTTACAGGGGGCCATTCACTGGCTATGCTCTCCCTACCTGGAGCTGGTACTTGTGGAGTATGGAGCTGGCTCAAGAAGGTCTCCTCCCTTGCCCCCGTCCAAAGACTATTTTCTCTGATCAGTCCTGAAGATCCCTGTCTCCTGCCTGCCGTTAGCAGGATTGTGGAGCTCTTACTATATGTAAGCACTGCTTCAGTCCTTCTAAAAGGGATTTAAAGAGGTCCGTGTCCCTTTCCTTTCGAGATGAGGAGACTAAATCTCAGAGACCTTGACCCAAACCTCAGCGGCACTTGACACCAAAGTCTGCGTCTTTACTAGCCACTAACCAGACCTGCTTGTATCTGATTGTCTTCTGAAAGGCTTTGATGGCAAAGCGCATTTATTCTGCTATTTTTCCTTTTTTTCTTCCCCCTCCAATGAGCCGAGTTAAGTGCTGAGCACATATGCCTTTGACACACTCACGGATTTGAGTGTCTGCTTTCCAGATTTAATAATAACATGGCCTCAGATGAGCAATGAATGGAAGCCATGGTCACTGAGATCGTTTGTCTTGGTAAATGACAGCTGATAATCCATATCGGACAAAGTGACCGGCAACGTTCTGATAAGAAACCGGCTCAACCTCCGTGGGATCCTTTCTTCTCTTTCCTCTTTTGGAAAAAGAAAATCCAGATCCGACACTTGAGAACTCATTGCTATTCTGAAGTCATGTTGCATCCGATCCTTCTTCAGACCACCCCAGGGGCCTTGTGACATTACCTGCTAATGCTTCTAACTCATCTTCCCAAACAAAGGGGCACCAGCCTGTCAACCCATACCCTTCCCTCTGCAGAGAGCTGAGGTTCTCTCTAGACTGGCAGGGTGGCTAAGTACTCACCGCGGAGCCAGCCCCCCCGTTAGGCCCCTGGGTGCATATCTGTGGTGTGATATTTACAGTGCAGGATGGCTGGGCCCTGTGGCGCTCGATGGGATTCTTATTAAAGGCAGGCTTCATTAAGACAGAGAGCACGGGCGACGCACCCTTGCTTTGGAGGAGAGGACAAGCCAGCACAAGACGGATGCTCTCCCTTGGATTGGAAATCATGCGGGTCAAGTGCCTTGTCACGCATTAACAGCCCTTTAAGTTGCTAGGCAGACTGAGAGGAGCGACGCAGATAAACCGAGGCGGAGGAATTATGCGATTGATCCATCCCGGGCACATAAATGCTGCCACACAGACGCCGCCTTGAAACAAAGTGATTTGCTAAATGAGAGGCTGGCGATTTTCCAGATGGCCAATGTGACACAGGCTTGGATGAATCCTTTCTTCAATCCCGCAGTTGTCTGGACTGAAACATGAAAGGCCAGGTTGCAGCCACTGCAGTGGCTGCAGCAGCTTCGAAGCCCTTCCATAAAAGCCTCCTGGTGTGGCCAGCGAGGCAGCTGGAGCGGATACCCTGGCATGGCGCTAGGGATGCCACAAGGACAGCTGCTTCTTAGACGGATGCCAGACAGCTCGGAACAGGGCTTTCTGTGCCTACTGCGCCACTTCACACACCACCAGGTCTCTGGGTCTTAGTCCCAGATGAAGCTGTAGTAGAGGCTAAGAAACAGAAACACCACTGTGTCCTATGCCATCATTTTAAATATGAATTATTATACATGATTTTAAAATCATTTGCATAGGTTTTGTCTCCCCCCACCCCCCCACCCCCCGCCCAGTTCTGGGAACTGAACCCAGGACCATGTATATGTTAGGTAAGCGTTGTAACCCTGAGGCACACAGCCAGACCCTTGAGGTCAGTTTGGAAATCAGCAAGGTAGATGGGAAAAGCCATCTCAATTTGAATACACTATTTAAGGAAAATTTTAATTTTTAAGCCCGGCTTCTCTCTGCTGTGCCTTCCTCCCAGTAAATTTTTATCTCGGCTCGAGGACTTTGCTAGAGACGACGATGATCATTTCGTCCTGGGACCTCAGGGTTTCACGAAGAATAATTGAAATGTTGGAAACAACAAGGCGGTGTCGCCCCACCTGTCATATAGTGGGCAACAATGGGAACAAGAACAGCAAAAATCCCACAAAAAAAACCAGCTTTATTGACTGGGTCCACTGTGCCAGGCTGTACCCCCAGACAAGTCTGATTTGGATCTATGGGGTACTTCATCAGTTCCCAGGATTTCTGTTCAGTTGTTAAAGAGTCCAGCTCCACCCCACCAGAGACCCCACCGCCCAGGCGGAGCCTCCGTGTTAGTTCCTTTCTGAGTCAAGAGGCAAAGTTTAACAGGCTGAGTCATCGGTGGAAGCTTCCGTGGTATGCAGGGGAAAACTACTTGCTTGCTGAGGAAGAACCCCGAAGTGGTTTCAGATCTAACATCCGGTGGAAAATTTTGTCGACTGAGTTCTATTTCCTGTGTGCACACAAATGCTTTCTCACTGATGGGGACTTCTCTTAGGAGTTTCCGATCGTGGGGGCTAACTGACCCCCAGTCAGCCTGATGTAAACAAGTGCACTGAAGAGCTGTTGGGCAGTGGATACCATGGTCCTCTGACTGTCTTGACCGGGTACCATGGTTTGTGGCCCTATCACCCCGACCACACGCGAACTCTTCAGATACCATCCTTGCCCTGACTCTTCTGCGGCCGACTTCCTCAATGAACTCACAAGTCCCCTCACGTTATGTACAGGATAATTTCTCAAAGCACCCTCCGTAAGGACAGGTGAAAACTGACTTGCACACAGCGTCGCCTTAGGGTGTGCTTGGCCAAGACCTTCTCATGGAGGTCTGGGTGGCAACAGTCCCAGTCACTAGAAAGGACTTGGTACCGTCCCCAGGGCTCCAGGGAAGGACAAGAAAGGCATTAACTCTGACATAGTTCCATTTTTTTTTAAAAAAAAAAAGACCTAACAATAAGAAAATGACATAGAAACTGTAGACGCTGTGTATTGATGAGCCGCGTGCACTGGCCCAGGGTTTAAGAGCGCTCACTCTTCCAGAGGACCCAGGTTCAGGTCTCTGCACCCACAGGGTGGTTTTCAGCTGTCTGCAACTCCAGCCTCAGGGGATCCAACACCCTCCTCTGGCCTCCACGGGCACTGCATGCGTGTGTACACTGAAACATATCAGGCGAAACACCACACAAATACAATGAATAGTAAGCTTTTTTTTTTTTTAAAGCTATGTGCTGGTTTAAATGAGCTGGCTCGGCATGCTAAGGCAGTTGCCACGAGCACATGGTCTGAGTTTTGATCTCTGTGCCCCGTATGGTGGAAGGAGAGGACTGACTTGGGTAAACTGACTGTCCTCGGACCTCCTCATGTTTGTATACGCACACACTCAAGATTAATAAAAGCGTAGTAAAGAGAAGTAGATTTCAGGGGATCCAACTTTGGTTCCCAGCACCCACACCAGGCAGCTCACAACCACCTGTAATTCCAACTCAAGGCGATCTGACGCCCTCTGCTGACCTCTGTGGGGACCTGCCCTCGTGAGTCCATGCACACACAGACACACATAATTACAAATCGCAAATTAAGGCTTCAAAGAAGAAATAGATCCCTTAATCAGCCTCCCGAGACACCACCCAGCATTGCTGGAAGCCATCTTTTAAGGTGCCAGGAGGCTTCGCTCAGGCTGCAGACATCTCAAGGACAGTCACTCTGGAGCAGCCTTCACAAGGCTCGTGACAAACAAGGTCCCCTGTCACAAACGTAGCTCCCCCCCCCCCCCCGGTGTCGGGGATAAAGAACAATAAAGAACTATGCAAATTGTGGAACCTCTGAAACCTGCCAGAGCAGGGTTAGGAGACAGATTAGATGGCAAAGCGGGGCCCAGTTAGTGCTGCTGTCCTACAAATAATCTTGTTTCTCTGTCGCATAACCCCGCAGCTTAGCGAAATGCCACCCTGAGATATTTAACACTACATTCATTTTAAACCTTTTCCCAGACTAAGGAGAAAAAAAAAATCTTTTTTGAAATGATCGTCAAACGAGGTCTTAAATATGGTTTGAAAATGCCACGACTTTTTAACATTCAAATACAGCTCTCAAAGTCACCCGTGACTGAAATTTTATCCCATCTCAGAGCTGTTAATTAAGAAGCTCAGATATGAGCAGCAGAGATGAAATCAACAGAAGCTGCAAGCCATTCTTAAAATAAACCGCAACCCCGATTTGCTTCGATCCTGAAGCAGCACACCCTGGGTGCCTATCATGCCATTCACACAGAGTCCACTAGGGGGCAGTGGATGATTGCATCTGAAGCAGGAGGGTTTTCAGGCGCCCGAAGTGTGGCAGGCGCTTCACACAATGATCAGAGCTGCAGTGGTGACAGGTAGGGAGCAACCAGTCATCGCTCCCAGCGCGTCTGTCAGAAGGATAAGGTGAGATGGGTCATTTGCATTTTCAGCAATGAGCTTGCATTCTAATGAGCAGCCAGTGCTGCCTGGACCTGTCCTGGCTTCCCTCTTCCGCTTGCGCAGGAAAGCAGTAACCAGGACAGACCATACCCAGGAAAGCATCCAAGAAGAGGCCGAGGCAAGGAAGTCCAGCCACAGGGGCTGGCTGCCACTGGACACCGCGGGCATAGAGAGGCTTCCCTCTGCCATGAAGTCCCTGCCAGTTTCCACTTGGGGAATTCCATTCTGAAGGCTGTGTGGCGCAAATTCAAGACACCACCGTTCCTGTATTAGTCTGTATGAAGGGCACCCCCTAGAGTGGAGCAACACATTGCTTGTGCTCTCTTCCTGCCCGTGGGCTGTGGGTTGTGGATCTCTGTAGGGTTAGATGCTTGCTTCTGGGATCTCTCCTATGAAAACCTGCGCATGAAAACATTTCAAGAAGCACAGAGGGACAAGCCCCTGAGTGCGATAGGGAAGGGAGGCCAGATGCAGTTCTAGGCGAGCGCCGTTCCCTCCTGTCTAAACTAGGGAGAGGATAGACTGTCCTGTCACCAGCTCACAGTTCATGCTTGCGTCACTCAGTCTCCTCTGCTGGGGGAATCCGCATTTAAGCCTTATTTCTACTTGTGAACTAAATGCAGGAGAAGAATTTCTCCATCTTGGCCTGGTGAAGACCCTCCACCTTTCCCTAGCTTGTCTCCAGGGATCCCACTCAGGGGCTTCTATTCCTAGCCCATGTCGTCACACATCTGTTTCCCAGGGACATTTTTGTTTGTTTACTTGGTCATCCTTAAAGCCCAGAGCCAAGGGCATAGACTCGTCACCCAGCTCAGGAACACAGAACCTTGGGCACACTGTGCTGCTCCACTGTCCCTCAGTTCTGCTCCCTCCCACCCCCCACCCCCACCCCCGAGATAGGATTCCTGTGTGTAACAGCAATGGCTGTCCTAGAACTCACTCTGTAGACCAGGCTGGCCTCGAACTCACAGAGTTCCTCCTGCTTCTGCCTCACAAGTGCTGGGATTAATGGTGTGCGCCACCACCGCCCAGCCGGTTTCTTCATTTTCATAAGGAGTCATGGTAACCTCTACCTTTGTGGGGTGTAGTGATGTGAATAAATAGTGCTTCAGGCTTGTTAGTAAACCCGATTTTTATGTTAGTGAGTACCAAACACACTAGAGAGTACCACAGTCATGTGATGGAGCAACACGTGCAAGTTAGGGAAAACCATATGCATTACTGAGCACCAATTACATATTAGGGAGGACCACACACATTACTGAGCACCACTTACATGTTAGGGAGGATCACACACATTACTGAGCACCACTTACATGTAAGGGAGGATCACACACATTAGTGAGCACCACTCACACGCTAGGGAGGCTCACACACATTAGTAAGCACCACTCACAAGCCAGGGAGGCTCACATACATTACTGAGCACCACTCACATGTAAGGGAGGATTACACACATTACTGAGCACCACTTACATATTAGGGAGGACCACACACATTACTGAGCACCACTCACATGTTAGGGAGGATCACATACATTAGTGAGCACCACTTACATATTAGAGAGGATCACACACATTACTGAGCACCACTCACATGTTAGGGAGGATCACACACATTAGTGAGCACCACTTACATGCTAGGGAGGCTCACATATATTACTGAGCATCACTCACATGTTAGGGAGGATCATACACATTAGTGAGCACCACTCACATGTTAGGGAGGACTATACACATTAGTGAGCACCACTCACATGCTAGGGATGATCACACACATTAGTGAGCACCACTTGCATTTTCTCTGAATGTTCTTGTGTGTTGTTTCTCTTTCCATTTTCCTTCTTCTCGGTTTGTCTCAGGCTCAGGACACAGATGCCCCCCTTCCATGGGAGTACCCCACCTCACCCCTGGAAAGCACAGTAAACATCATTCTGGTAGTTGACTCAGTGGCAGCCCATACCTACCTGGTCATCGCCATAGAGGATCAGGCACTTGTCATGTTCCACTGAGCTAAAGCAAAGACATAAACACAGAAACATCATCTTCAGACAGGACACGGAGAGCAGGAGCCACCTAGGCCTCCCCATCGAGCCATGCTTGTCACCGTTTTTGGAACACACTTGCGTGCCTGGATGAGGAGTGTTTTCTATCACTCTTTAATCATCTTCCACTGTGCAGATTCACGATCAAAATAAAAACAAACAAGCAAACAAAAAACCCAGCACAGTGTGGGAGCTGAGAGACCTGTAGGGAGATGCCTAGACCAAGAGTCTTTCTGAAAGTCGGCTATGTATCGTTTGAGTGGCCAGGAAGGAGGCTTAAGGACTCCCCTGACATGGCCACTCATCCATCCATCTGTCCCATCTGAAGAAAAGTGGAAAGGGAAGGGAAAAACTCCCATTTGAGTGGCTGTCTGGCTTTGAATATCTTTGCTTGTTGGGAGCAACTAGAGACTGAGGGAGTGATTCTCCTAATGGAGAAAGATTTGAGTAGGGTGGGGCTGGCGTGGGGGCAGACCGGACAGGCAGATGGGACAGGCAGCTAAGGCAGAGGCTTAGAAAAGAGGAGAGAGTGGGAACCTCGTGGGAAGACACTGAGTGGCGTGACAAGCCCCAGGACTGTGTATCCAACTCCCATAATGCTTGAAGTGACTGGATCCAAGGATGCAAACGCACCAGCTGCATCCGGGAGTCACGCCTACAACCAGTGCAAGCTGGGTGGCCATGTGTGGCTCCACCAAATGGCCCTGGATAATGCATCACTGACTGTCAGCTTTATTCGGTTCCAGAAGGAAAGGAATAAATGAATGCATTTCTTCCTTGGGTCAGCATCAGAGAACTGCCTGTCTTTGAAGCACTGTAGTTACCTCTAAATACCACCCAAACCTTACACTGGATGATGTTTCTGTATGTTTCTGGAAATCTGGGCAGCTCAAGAAGAAAGATGGTGCTTGTTTCATAAGAGTGTTGAGAGTATTAAGGGCTATATTTCATTTATTGATTTTCAGCTTCATGTGTATATTTTAGTCTTGTCTCTATTCGTGAATGTGTGTGTTAGAATCCTGTGGTACACTCTCTTCCATGTTCATCACTGTAAACATCTCTGATCCCACTTTTGAGCAATGGGGTGCTTAATAATCAACACCACAAAGAACTGCATTTTGCCTACCTGTGCTTTGGCACCTTAACCTTTTATTGCATAAAATTAAACAGCCTGAAGTTCTTCCATTGTGAACTCTGTTTCTCACATCTGTCTCCTGTTCCTGCTCTTGCAAACATTTTTTTCTCAGCCCACCAAGAAGAAGGAAGTCTCCTGACCAACCATGGTATCATGGTGCACTCAAGAGAAGTGGCAGGGGGATCTCTGTGATTTCGAGGCCAGCCTAGTCCATAGAGCAAGTATCAGGCTCGCCAGGAATATACGCAGAGAAACCCTGTCTTAAAAACAAAATAAATAAAAGGTCAGGTGGTGGTGGCACACACCTTTAATACCAGCACTGAGGAGGCAGAGGCAGGAGGATCTCAGTGAGTTTGAGGCCAGACTGGTCTACAGAGTGAGTTCCAGGACAACCAGAGCTACAGAGTGAGTTCCAGGATAGCCAAGGGTACACAGAGAAACTCTGTCTCAAAACAACAACAAAAACAAAAAAATAAAAAGAAATTTTTGTGTATTATCTTCAAGAATGTAGCTTAGAAACTTTTATACCTTTGCTTTACTTGGACTTTTTATTTTTTATAATCATGCAAATATTAGGTTTTGGAATTTTTTCCAAACAAATAGCTTTTGTTGCTTTTCTTTCCTCCTCCTCCTCCCTCCTCCCCCTCCTTCCTTTGACCTTTCACCCTCCCTCCTTTGGCCTTTCTGCTTCCAGGTCACCCGTGCCTGTACTTTATTTTCACACATAACACACGGGTTTACTGTCTTTCCTAGATGAAAAGTATTCTAGTTTGCTTCTTTGCTGTCGCGATAAAACGCCGACCAAAAGTGCTTGGCTTTATCTCAGCTTACAGGTCATAGTCCACCATCCAGGGAAGCTGGGGGCAGGAGCTGATGCAGAGGCCGTGGAGGGGTGCTGCTTCCTGGCTTGTTCCTCATGGCTAGCTCAGTCAGCCTGCTTTCTTAGATAACTCAGGGTCACCTGCCCAGGGATGGCACTGCCCACAGCGAGCAGGGCCCTTCTACATGAATTAGCAATCAAGAGAATGCTCCATAAACACACCCACAGGGTGTTCTGATGAAGTCAATTCCTCTAATTAGGTTTCCTCTCCCAAGATTGCACTCTAGGTTTGTGTCAAGTTGACCACCGGCGCTAACTGTGGCAGCAAACGGTGGTTATTTGCTGTGCAGCTCTCCCACTAATTTGGGATCTGGATTTTAGCACAGTCTGTCTCTGCACTGCTCGCTCTCCCTTGCTCCTACATCCATGGCTCTCGCTGACTTTAACTTAATAGTAGGGTTGGGCAGCTCTAATTGAGTCCTTCCTCCTCATTCTTTTCAACATTTTCTTAGCCTCCCCTCAAATGTGCTCTTCCAAATGGACCAAGACCAGAACGATCTCATAGAGGCTGATTGGATGCCGGACTGAGCTTTGGTGTTTGAACATCTTGACAATGTTGAATTTTCTATCAGGGACCATGGAGACTTCCTATATATACACACACTTTTTTTTTTATGTCTTTGAGAGATCATCGTTAAGGTTTTTGCTGGGCACATGTAATGTGCCAATCCACGCCTTTAGGCAAAAAAGGGAGTGAGCCGGATTGTGGAGTGATGAGTCTCTGCTGACCGAGACCCTGCCGTGCTCTCCCGCAGAGACCGGGTGGACCCTCCAGTAAAGGTGCATTCGGTCATGTGGCACAGCGACAATATTCGCTCAGAGTGCTTGGATGCTTGAGTCAGCAGTAAGGACAGGCTATCATTCGCATCTGTTAAGAAGGTTCTCGGCAAGGGTGTGGAGAAATGGCCCAGCAAATGAACGTTCAGTTCCCAGCACCCAAATGATGGCTCACAGCCCTCCATGACTCCAGTCCCAGGGGAGCTGCCATCCTCTTCTGATCTCTGAGGGCACCAGGCACACACACACACACACACACACACACACACACACACACACACACACTGTGCACATATACACATGCAGGCAAATGCGCTCATATATACAAAATATAATAAATAGATCTGGAAGAAGAATAGGAGGAAGGAGGAAGAGGAGGAAAAGAAGAGCCAAGAGGGCTTTTTGTACCAGGAAACTGTTTTTTTCTATAGCTCACATTCCTACTGAAGAGTTTCAACAGAGTTTAGCCCCTTGTGCCCTGCAGTCAGGGCTAATGTCAGCTGTCAACTCGACATAGCCTGGAGTCACCAGTGAAGGGGATCTCAATGCAAGCATTGCCCAGAGCAGAACAGCCTGAAGGGATGCCTTTGAGGGGCCTTGGCTGTGAATATATATGGGAGCGCTCTGCCCACGGTAGGGAGCAGGTGACCCAGGGCTGGCTGGAGAAGCTAGCCAAGCAAAGGAATGCAAGAGCAACAACAGCCTTCCTCCATGGCTTCTGCCTGACTTTTGACTCCCCTCTCCCCAGCCCGCCCCAGTGATGGGTTGTAATCTTTCCCTCCTCTGGGTAACCTTGGTCCTGGAATTTGTCCCAGCAGCAGAATGAAGCTGAAAATACTCGCCTATATTTCTTGATTTTAGTATCAGCTTTGAACTATTCTTCTAGGCTCCCAGTCTTTCGTTTCCTTAATCTCTTGTCTCCACATAGCCTTGCCTTCTGCTCTAATTCGGTCACTGTCATTGTTTTAACTTTGTCATTGATGGTAACTGGGAAATCTCCCCTTACATTACCCAGATCTGATCCTGCGTGTGACACCGATACTAACACGCTTCCTGGTTGCTGACGCTCGTGGTACACACACACACACACACACACACACACACACGTGCGCGCACACACACACACACACACTAACACACTTCCTGATTGGTGATGCTCGTGGTACACACATACACACACACACGTGCGCACGCACACACATATACACACTAACATGCTTCCTGGTCGCTGACACTCGTGGTACACACAAACACACAAACACACACACACACACACACACACACACACACACACACCACCTGCCTTCAGTCCCACAGCCCCGCAGAGCGAGCCTCTTGCTCCCTTTTCTTGTTTGTCTATGCTTAGCCCTTTGCTTAGGGAAGCTGCTCTCTAGGGTAAGCCTGGCTTGAGTAGCCTTCATCCATATGCAAATGAGGCTGGAGACAGACCACAGAACTGACTGAGAGGTTTGACATCAGACTCACGGCCACAAACACTAATGGGTTCTGAGCGCTCCGGGCAGCTGGTCCTCATCTTTCATTCTGTGAGACCACTTCCCTTCTCCCTTCCTCTGCGAATCCACAGGACCTCATCCCAGTGCCCACGCTCCGACAGCAGCGGTCCTAGCGTGCGTCTCTGTTGCTCTGATCAAACACTGACCCGAAGAGATGGTGGGGAGGAGATGGTTTATCGTATCTTACAGGACTATCAAGAGAAGTCAAGGGTGAGAACTCAAGGCAGCAGCCAGGAGGCAGGGTTGAAAGCAGAGGTCATGGAGGAAAGCCTGCTAACTGGCTTGTCCCACCTGCCTAGGGGTGGGACCGCCCACACTAGGCTGATCCCTCACGCGACAATCAGCAATCAGGAAAATGTCCCACAGACATTGCCACGGTCTGACGGAGCCAATCCTTGAACTGAGGTTCCCTCTTCCCAGGTGACACAAACTAACCAGGGCAGGAACTTTCCAGGGGGCGGAAGGACCCTCCTCCATTTCCTATCGCACAGACACACAGTGTGTTTGGACCCACGTACCAGTTCAGCCTTCCCTCCAGTCCCCCCAGATAAGCTAGCCATAGTCCCCCAGAAACCAGTCCTGACTCCCGCCTTGAGTCCTTTCCCATTTTACCCAAGGTTTGAGCTCAGTGTCTTTCTCTTCTACGTTGTCCACTTTCCAGTTTGTTTTTTTTTCTGGATGCATCCCTCTAGCACACACACACACCTGGTTTCTCCCACTGGGGACGAGAGAGGAGGCTTTGTAATACTGTTCCTGTCATCCCTTCAGCTCCCGCACAGCTGCCCTGCAGTCAGCAGCGGTCTCCATGCCGACAACGCCCACAGAGAGGTTCGGCCTTCTTCCCAGCAGTTGCCTGTGCCCATGATCTCTCCGGCTCAAGTACATGACCCCCGTCCTCACTTGGCGCATTTGAGCCACTGGTAAGAACAACTGTCAATCACATGGCCAGGAAGTAGAACAGAAAGGGGCCCCGGGCAAGATGGAACCCCAAAGTCATGTCTCTACTTCCTTTCTTCTCCAGCGAGGCCCTCTCACCCACCTCCTTTTACCCGTCCCACCTATGAATCAGTCGAGGGGTCAAATTATCCATTGGATGAGAGTCCTTATACTCTCAGGGTCTCTGGAAACTTCCATAGACACACGCAGAGGGAGCTTTACTAATTGACCAAGCGTTTTTTGATCCAATCAAGCTGTCAATCAAATTAGCCATCGACGTTACTTCCAATTAAGGGAATATGGCATTTAGCACAGGGCCTGGCATATTCTGGGACCTCTTCCAAATCCATCCACTCTTGATTCTAGAACCTTGGGGCACAATGGATTAGCTCTTTTCCTGTCATGACACTTATGATTCAATGGGGGTGGGGCAGATAATAAAAATAGTTGAGCCTAATATCCGTGTGTCACGTGATGGAAAGCACCACGGAGGTGGAGGAAGCAAGTGAGGGTCGCACGCCGTTCTGGGTCCAGTGGTGGGAGAGGCCTCTCCTAGCAGGGCAATGAGTGAGGAGTGCAAAGGGTGTGTGTGGAGGGGGTTCTTCCTGAAGGAGATAATGAGGACTACAAAGGCTCGGGATTACCGGGGACTATGGGGTGCTGGAAGAACACAGGAGTGGGTGTCCCGCAGTAAAGTGGTAAGCAAGGGCCAGGGAGAACCAGGATGTAGTGGCATGGCAGGGGGACACGGAGGAAAGATTTTCCTTAGAGTAAACCAGCCCTCAAAGCTGTGGGGAAATTAGGCGAAGAAGAATTTCAGGAGAAGAGGAGACAGAAGGCTGTGAGTGTACGGTGGGGAGGAAGGCAGTGACCACCCAAAGTGGAGGTGACCATAGGCACTGGGGTGTAAAGTGCTGTTTTGTATGTGAAATGACCCTCGCGGGCTCCCGTATTGGCTGCTGGTGCTGTTGGGGAGGTACAGAATCTATACAAGGAGGGTCTGACTAGAGTAAGTCACTGGGAGTGTGCTTCTGAAGGCTACATAGACCTAGTGGCTTCCTGTCCACCTCGGGTGAGCACCTTCCCCTGCACAGCTACCTGCCACCATGATATGTAGCCTCGTCTCAGGTTCACAGTAATGGACCACGCTGGCCAGTACCCAAAGCCTCTGAAACCACGACTTGAGGTGTGACAGAGAGCTAAGGACACAGAGAGGGAGGCAGAGACTGCTGGCATGGGTTACTGTATGCAGAACCTTGAGATGATGCAAGGCCCAAAGCCCTGTCACATAGAGACAGACAGAGGCTGCTGGCATGGGTCACTGTATGCAGAACCTTGAGGTTGACCCAGGTGCAGAGAGCATGCTCCCTTCCCAAGGTGGCACTGTCAGGTGATAATGGGACCTTCTGAGGTGGGCCTTCCAGGAAGTCTTTAGGCCACTGGGGATTTGACCCTGAAAGGGTCTCAAGGCCTGTAGTGTCTTCTTCTCTTGGCTTTATTCAACTCTACACTGCAACGCACTATGTCACCACTGGCCCATAACAGCAGGGCCAATATTAACATCTCTAAAACTGCGAACCATGTAGCAGGCATGGTCGATCGATAGAATAAACAGACCAATACTATATAAAAGATTTAGCTTTTAATTTAAAAAAGGGGGAAAACTTACAAGACCCGGAATCCCAAGAACACCAATGGAACTGGAAAACCGAAGGGGCCGGGAACAAGGCACTTCGATCTTTTATAGCCCGAATGGCCACACCTTAGGCCGAATGTGATTGGCTGAGATTCCCCATCAGGACCAGAATAACCATTTTTTTTTATAAGTTGATTATCCCAAGTACTGTGTTATGGTGACAGAAAGCTGGCTAATACACCCCATGTGGTCAACTCCTTAAGAACAGATGGTGTCCTATATCACAAGGCCCTTGAAGTAAGTCTTTACTGAGGAAACCTTTAAGGGGCTGATATTATTCTCAGTGGTAGGAACCCAAACTAGGGATGAAATTGAGGTTTGGAGAATAGGGTACTTTTTACAGATTGATCCGTACTTGCCACAGTACCTTTGGGGCACGCAAACAAGGCACGACATGAAGTGGGGTCTTGATCCTGGATGCCAATGTGTTTTCTCTGAAAAGTCTTGGAAAAAAAAACCCTGGAAAACATAGCCTGAAGTGGAGCTTTCTACTCATCCCCCAAAGAGTCTCTAACTCTACTTCAAAGAATAAAATGACCGAGTGCTTTAAGAGAGACAGACTTCAATGATGGTTTGCTCTCACAGCCCAGCAATGAATCCATCTCTGTAAAAAGAGCCCAGAAATTGTCCTCATTGCTCCGAAGCGCTGGCAAGAAACCAGGTCGCAGGAATTCGGACCGTCTGTGAGTGTCGTTGGCCCCGCAGTAACAGTGCCCCTCACAGATAGCAACCATGCTAGATTTCCTTTTAAGGTTAATTGGAGGAGGCCAAATTTAGGCCTGGAAGTCCCTGCAGGGGTTTCTCACCTGTAGCCACTAGGCCACATGCACTACCAACCTTCTAGGAAGCAGAGGGAGCCCTCTCATTGGGGAGTTAAGGCTGGCAAAGGTGAGGGATGGACAAGACGGCTTCAGCCCCGCAGACACCCTGAGTTCCTGTCCAGCCATCAGGACAGGGCAAGCCCGCCACCAGGCCACTGGGGAGAAAGGAGGACTGAGGTACTGCAGATGCCTAGCCGCGTTTGGACAAACTCCAGCTTCTGTCTCTTTGAACTTTTTGGAATCGCCAGGAATGCCAAGGAAAGCAATTTCTGACACATCTCAGTATTGGAAATCCCGATGACCTCCGCACTGGAACTGCTTTTGATTTTCAAAGAGCCTTTCTTCTCCCCCTACCCCATGGGATGCAGAAGGATGAATTGCTGCCCCCGTCAACCCTCCCATGAGATGCAGAAGGATGAATTGCAGAACAAATCTGGTTTTCCTCTTCAGGATCGAGGGAATCATTGACTCACGTTATGAAAGGTGAAGGGGAGACGGAGGTGGATTAAAAACCGTCTACACGGGGCCGTTCAGAGAATATGAAAGGGAGAGAGCACACTCTGATTACAGCTCACACTGAGGTGTCTCTAGTTGATGCTGTTAGATCTTTTCTGGACTCCCGGAAATAACAATCCCACACGTAACCCGACTAAGGAAAGACGGGAGGTCATCTCTGGCTTGATGTGTGCTTGTTAGAGAACAAAATTAATGGCACCACAGCCTTGAAAGGCAGCCAGGGTCAGGTCAGTCAGGTGCTGTGACTCATTTTGGCGAATCACTGGGATTGTCACGTCTTGAGAGGGACCAGCCAATGTCTTAAATTCCACTTGGATGAAAACCAGAACCCATTAGACATGCTGATCACATTTGCATTTCAGAGACGCTAGGAGAGAGTGCAGCCTGCACACTGAGCCGCAGCCAGCACAAAGGCTTGCTGCATGGGAGCCAAAGCCTACTGCATCTGCGGAAGGCTGCTGAGCAAAGTGTAATCAGACCCACCCAGAGTCTGGGCTCGGTTAGAAAGAGAGGCTAGAGGGAGACCTATCAACCGGCCTGGGTAAGAAAGGATGAGGTCTCAGGAGAAGGCAGTGTGAGCAGAAATGAGGGGACAGGTGAGACAGAGTTAAAGGTGGAGGAGATGCAACCCCGGGAAATCCAAGGTCAAAACTGAATGATGAAGTGGAGGTGAAACTAACCGTCACACACTACACAAGTAAGGTGTGTGTGTGTGTGTGTGTGTGTGTGTGTGTGTGTGTGTGTGTTTGTGTGTGTACACATACATGTGGAGGCAGAGGTCAATGTGGGGTGTCTTTCTCAGTTCTGAGCCATCTTCCCAGCCCCTGGCATTTATAGTTCATTGTCAATCTTCTCCTCCAACTCAGATGGTCACTCCTTAAAGGACACAAAGATCCCATGTCCAGAGAGGTGTCTGGCCCACCATGGCCCCACCATGGTCTTTGTTGAGTGACTGCTAATGGCTGTGGTACAAGACACTAGAGGTAAAAATGAAATACCCAGGGGCTCAGAGGAGGAGAAATTAATTTCGGTTCAGAGGATTACAAAGGCTTGGAGGGGGGAGATGGCATCTGAGTCGGATTTGGGCACTGGCAGGATGTCAGTGGTCAGAAGCAGATGGCTAACATGTGGGCAGGGAGAGAGGACGCTGAACAGGATGCTGAGCGGACACTACTCACTGGCAGGGAAAGGCAACTGACCCAGAGGGCTGGAACCTGAGCCTTAGGAGCGGTGCAGGCTGGAACCTGAGCCTTAGGAGCGGTGTGTGTGTGTGTGTGTGTGTGTGTGTGTGTGTGTGTGTGTGTGTG